AACAGAAGTCCAAGGACCTCATGGAATGGGTTTCTCTCCAGTGGACCACAGTATATATGACTTTTGGGGATCAGAGACCATCAGTCTCACTACTTCCTGCCAAATGATGCATAAACGGCCATAGGAAAAGGGGAAGGGGAAACTGGGTTGACTGAGTTAAATCAGGTACAGAAGAGCCTTGAGGAGATCCTAACTTGGTAACAGTTCAGTAACTAATGGTCATGCAAAGCTGGAAAACAGCTGGGTTAATCATAAATGAAGTTGACATTAGCCAGCATTTGGAAAAAACAATACATTCTGAAGGCCAGGCAAGGTGGCTTACGCCTGTAATCCCAGCACTTTGGGAGGCCGAGGCGGGTGGGTCACCTGAGGTCAGGAGTTTGAGATCAACCTGGTCAACATGGTAAAACTCTGTCTCTACTAAAAATACAAAACCGGGCGTGGTGGCGCGCACCTGTACTAGCTGGTAGTCCCAGCTACTCAGGAGGCTGAGGCAGTACAATTGCTTGAACCTGCCAGGTGGAGGTTGCAGTGAGCCGAGATGGCATTATTGCACTCCAGCCTGGGCTATAGAGTGAGACTCTGTCAAAAAAAAAAAAAAAAAAAAAAAAAAATTTTGAGCTTTACCTTATACCAAAATATTCTAGATAGTTAAGAAAAAATTAGTATAAATAAAAGGCAAAGAAAATATAAGGGAAATATTATTTGACACCTGAAATGTGAGAGGCCTGTCTAAGCTGTGGGTGGGCTGTGAAATTTTAAAGCAAACCACTGACAGATTTAATGATACAAAGATTTTAAAATGTGCAAGCAAAAATGTGTCATACCTGAATTTAAAATGCACATACATTGCAAAAACAATTATAGCAAATAAGACAGAAGTTTAAATCCTAACAATAGAAAGAACTCCTACTAATACCTAAGGAAGGGTTAAGATCCCAAAAGATAAATAGGCAAAGGATGTGAACTGACAAATTGTAAACATAAATTGTAAATGTCTGACAGAGAAAACTGTTTAACATAATTAGCTTTTATTTAAGAACTACAAATTGACTGGTCATGATGGCTCACACCTGTAATCCCAGCACTTTGGGAGGCCGAAGCAGGAGGATTGCTTGAGACCAAGATTTTGAGACCAGCCTGGGTAACACAGTAAGACCCCCATCCCTACAGAAACATAAACACCATAGCTGGTTGCAGTGGCACGCACCTGTAGTCCGGCTGCGGAAGGCTGAGGCAAGAAGATCATTTGAGTTTAAGTTTGCAGGGAGCTATAACTGTGCCACTGCACTCCAGCCTAGGCGACAGAGCTAGATTCTGTCGAAAGAAAAGAAAGAGAAAGGAGAGAAAGAGAAAAAGAGAAAGAGAAAGCGGGAGGGAGGCAGGGAAGGAGGAAGGAAGAAAGAAGGAAGGAAGGAAGGAAGGAAAAATTAAAACAAGGATGACATGCTTTTTAATATCTATCAACTTAGGACAGATTTTAAAAATGATAATACTCCTTGCAGGTGAGCCTACAGAAAGACACTCATTCACTTTGCCACTGGGAGAGTAAATTGAGCCAAATCATGTGGATAGTAATTTGGCAACTGTAGTAAAAGTTTAAAAAAGTATAAAATTGGAAACAACATACATTTTCCAAATAGGAGAATATTTAAGGAAATCAGTGTGTATCTACATGCGGTACTATTACACAGCTATTGAAATGAAGGCATTTGAAAATATTTAATGATATGGGGAGTTGCATATGCTATAATGTTAAGTGACTAAAGGCAACATGCTGAATTATATATACAGTGTGATCACAACTATGCGAATAAATATGCATGGAAATAGCTTGAGAAAAATGTATCAATCTACCAGTGCTTATTTGTGAGGGTGGTAGTTATCTGATATTCTTTCTACTTTTCTGTACTTCTATAGTACAGAGTTCTAACTTGAAACATTAGAAAATAATCTTTGTTAGAAATAAAAATGTACTTTTAGCTTACTGCAGCTAACTGACGGCTTCTGCTGTAATGGTTCAAGATGCTTTTTTGGACTAATGTATTTGTCTCAAGTGACTTCAAGTATGAGACTGCTGATTACTCAGAGAAATACTTTGGGGGAGCCAAAAAAATACTTTCATGGCTCTCAATATGTGCCAGGCAACATACTAAACACGTTACACATATTAACTCATTTATAACTCCCGATACTCATATGAGACAGGTCACATTATTATCCGTATTTTATGCTGCAGGAAATTGAGGCACACAGAGGTTACGTAATTTCTCCACGGTCACACAGTTAGTAAATGGTGAAGCTGGCAGTATGGCTCCAGTTTTCCTACACTCTGTGCTCGGTGAGGCTATATTTAAGATAATAAGCAACCCTTTTTTAACTTTATTTTTGAGATAGGGTCTCACGCTGTAACCCAGGCTGGAGTGTGGTGGTAGAATCTCAGCTCACTGCCGCCTCTGCCACCCAGGCTCAAGCAATTCTTGTGCCTCAGCCTCCCGAGTAGCTGTGACCACAGGCGCTCACCACCACACCTGGCTAATTTTTTGTGTTTTTGGTAGAGATGGGGTTTTGCCATGTTTCCCAGGCTGGTCTCCAACTCCTGACCTCAGGTGATCTGCCCATCTTGGCTTCTCAAAGTGCTGGGATTACAGGCATGGGCCATCACACTTGGCCCCTTTTATAACTTTAAAAATAATTTTTTCATAGGTGGTTTTCAATGGCCTAGATAATAGATAACTTTATCTTTCAGAAAACAAGTAAACAATGGAACTTTATGAAAACAAACTGACATCAAACAATACTAAAATGTCAAATGATATTCATGGTCATGAATCTCATCTGTGAACCAAGGGAGTTAAATTAGATAATCTTTCAGATCCCTCCTGGGTGTAATAACCCATAACTGTACTTATTAGCAAGAAAAATGGGTTTTGTATCCTGTACTAGAAATGGTAAAATTATTTCTTCCACCAATCATTTCCTTCCTAACCTCACACCTTTTTTTTTTTTTTTTTTTTGAGGCAAGGTCTTGCTCTGTTGTCCATTCTGAAGTGCAGTGGCACAAACAGCTCACTGCAGCCTCAATCTTCCTGGCTCAAGCGATCCTCCCATCTCAGCCTCCTGAGTAGCTGGGACTACAGACACGTGCTCTCATGCCCGGCTAATATTTTTATCTTTTGTAGAGATGAGGTCTCCCCATGTTGCCCAGGCTGGTCTCAAAATCTTGGGCTCAAGTGATCTGCCCACCTCCACCCACACTTTATTATTAGGTTGGTGCAAACATAATTATTAGAGAAACTTCCATGTGGGCCCGAACAGTACACTCTTACCCCAGCCCAGTTGGTTGGAGCAGGGGCAGATGGCTCTCCCTCGTTAGGCCAATCAAATTCTCTCGAGTTTGGAATTGGTGCTCCAAAATTCTAGTCCCCTCTTGACTGCATGCGTTGGGAGGTCATATAGGCTTCTGTTGGCTATTTTCCACCACGTGCTGGAAGAGCAGAAAAGGCAGCTATGTAGGGTGAGGAGGGAAGAGACCCTAGAGAAGAGAGGAGTCTTGATCCTGCTGCCCCTGGAGACTGGATGACAGGATGGGACTGGAAGGGCAGTGTGGCTGCCTATTTCCCAAATCCTTTCTCACTCCTGATTCCAGGCCTCTATGTGGCCTGACAACATCATCTGACCAGAGGTGCCACAGAAGACACCATGTGTCCTTTCAGTAAATCCCCACTTGTGTTTGCTTGGTCGAGTTTGAGCGGGATTATTACTTGCAGCCAAGCACATAAAATGCATGGGTGCAGCTGGTTTCCAGCACCTCTGGCTGTAGCCACAAGGTGAACAGTGAGCAATTTTCCCTTAGCTGAGCCATTCTGCAACATCTGACATGAGTTGTTTTTCTGGGATGATCTGGCCATTACAGTGAAATCAGCTAAAGGAAGGAATGTATCAAAAACTAGGAATTGCTGTGTAGATGATATTAAAAGAGATTGCGAGCGACCTGCTAGCCAGCTGGTTGACTGAAGGCTTTGGCCTGGGGTCTGAGGCTAGTTTGCAGGTTTAATTTGGAGGTGAGGACACTTGATTGTTTTCAGGTTACCCAGGCTTACTGGGTACTTTGGAGAATTGATTCACGACCAGCAAACTTGTGAGAAACTCATGGATCAGCCCACAGGCCAGCGTCCTAATGCGCAGGGAGATGCCTGTGTTGTTCAGAGCATTAAGTCTCAACCGTGCGCAGGGGGCGCCCCTTGTAACACAGGGAACTTCCCTGTGCCAGGCACTTGGCCAGTCCCTGTGCAACACTCTCCAGCCTTGTGCTGTGCTCTGTCCCTCTTGCTCTTGATACCATAGATGCCTTGGCTGGAGCTGGCTGGAGCTTGTCAGGCATACTTGCATATAATTAAATAAAAAGATATAAATGGAATCAAGTCCCAGAAGAAACAGTTAAAGAAGTCAAACGTGGCTGCTTCTGGGATCATAATGAAGGGGTGAAAAGGGACAGCAGCAGGGATCTGCTTTCACTGTAAGCTTTTTCCTACCCTGATTTTTTTGTAACTGTGTGCATATATTACACAGATACAAACAAATAAACGATGACTATCATACCCAGATCCTTCTCCTAAAATAGTGTCTATTATGCCTTAATGCCAGCCTGGATTCTCTCTCCTGTTTTACTGACACAGATCCTAATAGTCTCATTCCATTTACTCTGCTTGCTTGTAAGAGCACAGGCCTATGTTGTAATTTATTTCCTTTAGAAGCATTCATTTTTGTTCACTTATTTATTGAATTGCTATGTGCAAGGCATTTCTACATAAAACAGTAACCATGTGATTGCACACTTTGTCCTGTATTGGCTAATTATTATGTAATCAATATAGTCATTTGGAGTTGGCCATTTTGAGAATGTACATATTCTAAAGAAACTTTAAAAATGTGGCTTTCCAAATAAATGTCTATGCCAGTCTTTAAAATGTTTCCTTATTTCCTCTGCTTTGTTCCAGCAATGGCAGGTTGAAGGCAGAAAGCACATCTGAAGCCGGAAGAAATGCTGTCTGAACAATTTGTTCATCTATTCATTAAAAAATGTATTGATCATCTATTATATGCCTGGTAGAGTATGACACAAAGTGGGCAGAACACACAGGACATGGTCTTCACCCTTAGGAAGTGTAAGTTCTTGCAGGGTATTTTTTGAGGGGAAGGTAGCTTGCATTTTTTTTTTTTTTTTTTTTTTTTTTTTGAGACGGAGTCTCGCTCTGTCGCCCAGGCTGGAGTGCAGTGGCCGGATCTCAGCTCACTGCAAGCTCCGCCTCCCGGGTTCCCGTCATTCTCCTGCCTCAGCCTCCCGAGTAGCTGGGACTACAGGCGCCCGCCACCTTGCCCGGCTAGTTTTTTGTATTTTTTAGTAGAGACGGGGTTTCACCGTGTTAGCCAGGATGGTCTCGATCTCCTGACCTCATGATCCGCCCGTCTCGGCCTCCCAAAGTGCTGGGATTACAGGCTTGAGCCACCGCGCCCGGCGGTAGCTTGCATTTTTACACTAAAAAAATTCATTACCTCCTCAGCTGTTTGCTGCAGCATCCCTTTGTATAGGATTTAGTAAAAACTTGTTTTGCAAATGTATGCTTTCCACACAACTTTGCAGGACAACATCGAAGGCCCAGATTCTCAGTATCTTTTTCTGCTGCCCTGCCCCTGAGGGTTCTGCCGTGTCCCAGTCACTGAGACCTGGAGGGCCTCTCAGACCCTGGGAGCAGAGCGCTTGGGAGGGGCGCACTTGCAGTCTGAGCACAGTATGTGGAGGCTGCTATGCCCATTCCTCCTCCACGGCAAATGTGGGCACTGAAAGTCAGCTTTGCAGAAACCCACTTTCAGGAGCCCGAGGCCTGAAGATGACAATTCCAGGCTGGCTTAGCTTCAAAATAGGTATTATTTTCCCTCTGTTTGCCACGTTGTCTACTTGTTTGGGACAAAAGTCAACAGCACAAGGTCAGCAGCTAACATATCTGGACAATCATTGCTAAGGATTGCTAAGGGAATGGGTTGAAATTGTCATTAGCAGGGCTGAACATGAGGACACATGCCTTCCACATGTTTCTAAAAATGGCCTTGATAATGAAGACATCTCCTTGGTTTTGAACTATTTTTACAACTCTAGGTAAAACCCCAAGCCCCAGCGAGCCTTTCTTGGTATACATTAGTTATCCTTAATTAAATAAATGGTTTCCAAATAGAAGCAGATACACAAAAACTTTTATTAAGTGGAAGTTAGACTTACTTCATGGTAATTAACCAGTTACAAGTGCATTTAAATTCATGTGTGTAGACACTGTAGAAGTCAAAATGGTCTTTTGAAAGTCCAGTGTTCTGGCTCTGTGCCAGTGCAACCCCAGGTAGAACCATCCACAAAGTAAGTACAGGTCAACGATGATATCAGACTAGATTGGCAACACCATATTCATTGTTACAAGCATTACAGAACAGAAAAGTCCAAGGACCAGAAGACGATTACTAAAGTGATTCTTACTATAAGCCTTTTCTTCTACTTAAATGCTTCCAGAGGACCAGTGTAGCAAATCCTCAACTCTGGGGGGACAGAGCCACTTCTGCATTCTACACTTAAATGGGCCACAGAAACTGTAAACATTTGGTGGTCTCTTGATGCCCATTTCAAGTAGATGCCAGCTGTCCCCTTGGGAAAGTGCAGTTTAACTGGTGTGAACATTGAACATTGTACATCTTCGATCTGAAAATTTCCTTCTGTTTCAATTAGCACCAGTTTATTTAAAAATATTTTTCCTGGTGTTAAATATTTAGGAAACATTTTTTTTTTAAACAAACACACAAAGTCCAAAACAATGGAAAGCAACAGAAATTCAAAAAATTGTTTTAGAGAATAGCATTTAGAAAAACAAATGATTTAAACATTCAACAAATCTATGTACAATGTGCCAGAAGCTGGCAAGGAGCATGGCTGAGGAACAGTCAGGTAAAAGGTTTATCAACCTGAACCTCCACAGGCTGTATTTACAGTCAGATAGGTATTCAGAAATGTGTATCAGAACATCTGGATTTGGCTAAAAATCATATAAAAAGACACATTGCCCCTCCCCCAATAACTTCTAATTAGGTAGCAAACAATCCAGTATAACCTTAAGTACAGGTTTAGAAATGTGTGTGTGTGTTTTCCCCCCGCCCCCGTATTTTACAAACAGTTGAGAAACTTTCTCAATGGACATTGAAGAGAACCAGAATGGCAGAGAAATGGAGTTATTTCCACATTGTCAGATGAAGGAAAAGATATTTTTTCATGCTGAGGAATGTAGTAAAGCACTGATTAAAGAGAGAAGGCAAATTATTAGGGGAGGAGGTTTCATGAAAATATGAAATCAACAAAAGGGCTGAAGAAATTTGTGTATATTCTATATAGACTTTCCAAAATATAAGTAATTTTGAAAAAAGATCAATGATTTGCCTTGCTGGACAATATTTTCATATTTTGTTCTTTGAAACTATAACCGAAACCCCTTGAAGAATTTTTTTTTCTGGGATTTGAGAATTAAACCCAACAGATAAAACCTATGCCATTTTTATCCAATGAAATATTCGTTCACTTCATACAGTTTCGTTTGCTTGTTAATCCAGTGTTACTAGAACCTTTAAAGAACTGGGCACATTTTCTAACAGCCAACATTTCCCATTGATGCTTAAGGAGTAAAAAATAAACCATCTCCCATTTATTCATCTTAATGATGGAATCTTTTAGAGCCTGATGTTTCAGAGTAAAGTTTCAATCTTTAAAAACATCAAGTAGGAGAATATAGATGGGCTTCCCATATCCCCATAAGGATATGTATCCAAGTTTATTTTGAATAATTTCCAATTGTGGTAGGTAGCTATGCAAAAATTTACTTGGATTCGATAGAAAATACATGCTACTCTTTGAAAATGCATAGTTTATAATTTTATACATTCATTCACTAATATTAAAGACTTTTGTTAAGCAAGTACTTACCTCGGAATGGTGGTAAGATTATATTTCAAAAGATCTCTAAACATTGGACAGCATTGCCACCTAGCTTTTGAGTTAGCACTCAATGACATGTGAATGCCAGTCATTTTCACACGAGTGTCACGCAGGAAGGACTGCTGTTTTCTCTTCATTCTTTCTCCTTTACTTGTTTAGCAGGCACTAAAAAGCAATGCTTTCTACTGATTGCATTTCCACTAAATACCCCGTTTTAAATATTTAATAATTTCATTTTAATATTTTAGATTTAGTGTAGAAAATTCAGAAGATGGCTTAATTTTTAAAAGTTTCCTTAAACATTGTCATGGACTAAGGGCAACAGAGGTTTTGTGATTACTGTTGGTCTCTCTCCAGTCTTCTCATTTGATAAAATGACCGTAGGTCACTCGCAGTTGCATCTCATGATAGTCATGAACCCTTTGGGACTTAGCGATTTTTTCTTATCCTGAGTTCTTCTTCTAAGTATATAGGATTTTGATACACAAAACACTTTGGAAACTATTCTAGTGTCTGGTTATTCCAGAGAGCCTATGTTTAAATGGCTGATCACTGTCCAACCATTAATTACAAAAATAGGAATTTTAGGGTGTGTTGTAGGAAAATATTGATTCAGGGAATTTTTTTTTTTTTTAAACATGTATGATCCATATTCCTGGGTTAATTTACACCCAGGACATTTTCAGTTATCGAAGTCATGGGACTAGTATGTTTTGGAGATTTTTTAGTTCTTCCCTAAAAAGCTAAGTCTTTTCTAAAGCTTTCTTCCAATGACCAAGGAGGTTCCCCGAACAGTCGGCAGACAGTGAAAGGAGGGGCTTTGCTATCATCACAGGTGTTGGTCACATCACAGCCATTGATTTCCAGTAAGAAGAGTAAGGAAAAAAGGTTTAAAAAGTAAAACAAGGGTTGTAATCTGCAAAGTTATGCATTGCCCCTCAACCTTTTTTGGGAGAGTATGGGTAGTTTATCATTAAACTCCACTGTAGATCCCTGAGGGGTATGTTCACACTCTGGCCGCCGCTCTTCCTCTTTCCTCTCGGTCCCAGCCATCTGCCCAAAACATAGGAAGGGGGCTCCAGTGGAGTGAGGGGCAAGTGCTTAACAACATGAGTGGACTGGAGTCCTCTTCTCTTTCCATAAATACGAAATTATAACAATTATACCCTGCAGGAGCCACTTCCTTTTCACATACTAAAGGCCAATTCTGCTTTCATGCTCTGTAATTGTGGGCAGAAGTCAGAGCCGGGAGTAATTAAACATGGAGCCCTCTTGCTCTGCCCTCACTGTCCCCTCCTAAAGTGGAACCCCGCTCACATTCCTGGTTCTGATCACTCTATTAGCCTCGCATGTGGAAAGGACCAGTAGGGTTGCTGACTTGCACAGCAGGCTTTGAGGCACAGTGAAAGGATTAGCTATCTGCCTTGTCATTCTTTACAGTGAGTCTGAACAAATCTTTTGTGATGAGCGTGGCTAGCTGTCTGCTAAGCTGCTCTCCTCATGATCACCTAAAACCGTTCAGATAGATGGAATATTTCCCCCGAAGGAAGGGGCTAGCCACACTGACTGAGTCTTACATCCCAGTCACAGTAATATTTATCCCCTTGCACCTTAATTTAAGAGAGAGAAAGCAGTACCACAGAAACAAGAATGTCCCTAAGAGAGAGAAAGCAGTACCACAGAAACAAGAATGTCCCATCAGGGGCTTTAGAATGGAAAAAACGTTAACAACAGCCTGGCCTCCAGCTCAGGGAAATGAGGGCAGAGGGATGGGTAATCTTTCAATAGCAAATTCACTGGGGCTTGCCAAGATGGGGGAAAGCAAGACTGGTAGCTGGAATGGGGACTGTTCTCTTTTAAAGCTCAGTTTCTTCTCTAGAGTGCTGGTTTTCCTTTTAAGTTAAGGATTGTAGAGAGAATTCAGAAGAAATAGATGAGCACCTTTGTTTTTTTCTGTTTAAAGCAAATTTCCTTCTTTAATGGTAGTCTCACTCCATCCCCCAGGTGCAGCGGTGCAATCTCGGCTCACTGCAACCTCTGCCTCCCGGGTTCAAGGGATTCCCCTGCCTCAGCCTCCCAAGTAGCTGGAATTACAGGTGTGCACCACCATGCCCAACTAATTTTTGTATTTTTAGTAAAGACAGGGTTTCACTCTTCTTCTGTTTTCACTCTTTCTTCCTCT